ATGTTCGTGTTCATTCGGGTTCGGTTCAAATTCAAAATTAATGTTTAAAAAATAAATATGCCGTTCATCTCCGGTTCATGTTCAGTTCAGTTTTTCAGAACGTTTCACGTTCAGTTCGTGTTCGGTTTATGTTCATTTAAAATGTTCAAACATAATGTGTAGACTTCGAAGGCAACACCAAAAATATGCTGAATTGCTCACACGCACACACAAAATACTTATTTTTCAATGTACACAGTTCGCATGTGCATTTGAATGTGTTCGTCAATTCGACTGACGCTTGATATTTTGCGCGTATTGTGTTTATTCTTTCTCCGCCATCTTTGTTTTGTTATAGCTGCCGACTGCGCTTGTTCCGATTAATTTAATTTTTTATCTTAAAACGGTGTGTTTATAAATAATCGTAATTGTAAAATACGAATATTTTTTTGAAAAATAAAAATGAAAGTGAAACGACGCATCACAAATAAAAAAAGTGCAGCTAAAAGAAAAGTTGTGCGCAAAAGGTTAACTGTGCGAACAAAAAACGTGAAAATAACGAGAAAAAGAATTCGAAAAGTAATTTCGTATGCGAACCTCGATGTGCTCACGAAAAGAGCTGAAAAATGCGAATTGTATCGAAAGATTCGCGTGAATCAGGCCATCACAAAGGTGAGTTTTTTTTATATATATTCCCGTATTTGCTTTTGCCTGATTTTTTTTTAATATTTCAGTATAAACAAATTTATGATATTGACTCGGAAATTACAAACGGAAAACTTGTTTTAGACGTAGATTTTGAAACAAAAAACGAATTGCTCTCTGTCGCAAGCACGATTGTGAAACGATTGATGCCTCATCAGGCAAATGCCGTCAAATTTATGTTTGATTGTTGCTTCGAATCTATCGCACAACTGAATGTCGATAGTGGCAGTGGTTGCATATTGGCCCACTGCATGGGAACGGGTAAATAAAATAATTTCAATTAGCTTCGTTATTTCCAGTACATTATATTGTGCTCACTGGGAGTCTCTTGGCATTTTTCTCAACAAAAACAAAAGATATTGCCAAGAGAATGCCAAGACAATCAATCTCATGTCACTTTTTTTTATAGGAAAGACATTTTCAGTGGTCGCTTTATCGCACACCCTGATCACCAATCCACAAACAAATGTCAAGAAAATCCTGATAATTGGTCCACTTTCTGTCATACTGAATTGGAAATTTGAATTCAAGGAATGGGTTTTAGAGGATCCAAATGTTGAGGATATCAACATTTACGAACTAACCAGGTATCTCTCTATTTAAAAGTTGATAAAAAACAATTAAAAAAAAAATATATCTTAATATTAGGTTAAAGAAAATTGAAGAAAAGATAGAGTTATTATTAAAATGGCACAGCGAAGGTGGTGTCATGATTTTGGGCTATGATATGTACCGAAGATTAGTGCATAAAATAATTCATAATGACAGACTTTCAATGCAACAAACAAGTGTCAAGGAATGTCTCATAAATCCCGGGCCCGATTTGGTTATATGCGACGAAGGACATCTGCTGAAAAACGGCAGAAGCCAACTAAACGACGCACTATCGAATATTCAAACACGGCGTCGAATAATTTTAACTGGTACGCCGCTCCAGAACAATCTTATGGAGTATTACTGGATGGTGAATTTCGTAAAGCCACACTTGCTCGGAAATATCAAAGAATTTCGGAACCAGTACGTAAATCCAATTAATAATGGCCAATATGCGGACTCGACCAGAGCCGATATTGATTTTATGAATCGCCGAGCATACGTATTAAATAAACAGCTTAGTGGCTGTATTCATCGAGCCAATTTGTCAGTGCTCCAAAATGTCCTTCCACCGAAAGAAGAATATGTGATAAAAGTGCGTCTTACAGATTTGCAGAAACGTTTATACAAGGTATAAATTGAAATATATAATTATATATATTTATCAAACAAAAAAAAAATACATTTTTTTTCTATAGCACTACATAGAAGAATTAAGTGTCAAAAAGAAGTCAAGTTCAAAGTCCGAAAAAACATCGACATTATTTCAAGACTTTCATTGGTTGTCAGGAATTTGTGCGCACCCTTGGGTTTTGCAGTCCAAAAGTGAGATCGAAGCAGATTCCGACAGTGAACAGAGCGAAGATGAAATGATCGACACTGAAGAGAGCGATTCGGAAGGGAGTGATATTTATGAGCCAAAAAAAAACCCACCTACAGCACCTTGTAAGTAAATTATTGTTATTAGTATATAATAAAGAAATGTCATTTCAAAAGTCCTCTGTATTTTAAAGCAGTTGATTGGTGGTCACAATTTTGCACTAGCGACGATTTGGAAAATATGCATACATCGAGCAAGCTCCCCATCCTATTTTCCATAATAGCCGAGTGTGGTTCAAATGGTGAAAAACTTTTAGTATTTTCTCAATCATTGTTATCACTGAAATTGATTGAGAAACATCTAAAGAGCTTTAATTGGATACGCGACAAAGATTACTTTTATTTCGATGGAAAGACCAATATACAGGAACGAAAACTAAATTGCGACATTTTCAATGATAAAAATGAGAAACGAGCAAGGTATCTATTGCTAATTTGCTTAGTATTTCGACTCGAGCAAACCGATATAAATTGAATACTTTATCACGTTTTTAGACTATTTCTTATTTCAACTCGTGCGGGTGGTTTGGGGATCAATTTGACGGGTGCAAGTCGGGCTGTACTATTTGATGCTTCTTGGAATCCATCAAATGACGTAAGAACATTTTATACAACATGATATGAACTATGGAAATTTATTTTATTTTGCATATTTTTAGACTCAAAGTGTATTCCGCATATATCGAATACACCAAAGAAAACCATGCTATATTTATCGATTAATCGCTCTCGGAACAATGGAAGAACTCATATATAAAAGACAAGTTACAAAGTTATCACTCTCGAAGCGTATTATCGATGCAAAACAGACTGATCGGCACTTTGAAGAGAACGATTTGGCAAGATTGTATAGCACGGAAGGCATTGATCCAAAGGAAGATCCTCCGGAATACGATCAATCAAAAGATGATCTGCTATGTGCTATTTTACAAATACATTCTGATGTCATCCACAACTTCCATATCCACGATTCCCTTCTTGAAGAAAAAAACGAAAACCTGACATATGAAGACAAAAGGAACGCATGGAAGGAATTCTCCGCACAACGAGATGCGGAAAAGAACAAAATGTTAAGAGGCTCCATGAAATTCCTCTCCATTTTGAATGGTATATTAATTTTGATTTTATTAACCATAAATTTGATTTTGAGCTATAATTTTTTTTATCTAAACCAGATTCGAAGCCAGTTGAAGTCGAAGAGAGGAGTATTTATGGATTCACAACATCACAATTACACGAACTGCTCAGCTACAAACTGGGAGATGGGGTGCTTGAAAAGATGCCAAGTGCACTCGCCCAACTACATCGTCAAATGGCGGAAGGAAATACGGAGCTGTATGACCAACTGGTTGAAATAGATAATTTATTTAAATAAAAAAGAAATCTAGCAAATCTTTTGTACCTTAATATTAAGAAAAATGTAGACCAAAACCAAATTAAATAAAAATAAAGAAGCCATCTCTTGGCAAATCTCTTGGCAAATCTCTTGGCAAATCTCTTGGCAAATCTCTTGGCAAATCTCTTGGCAAATCTATTGGCATTTCTATTGACCATTTTTTTCTATTATGTTTGAGATAAGCCAAGAGATTTGCCAATAGATTTGCCAAGAGAAACACCAAAAGATTTGCTAAGAGATTGGTTTCTTTGGCCTCTCTATTTTTATTATTATTGTTGAAAAAATGACGAAGATGTATATGTTTTATTAAAAGAAATGAATAAAAATGCTGAATTCTTTATTTTAATGGTATTTTTATTTAGTCAAAAAAATTCTTGAATTGAATTATGAAAAACAAACGTTCATACCACAATTAATTATATATTTTAGTGCAATCTTCAATTTAAATATTGGTTTATTATTGAAACGATTTACAAATTTATTCATATATGTTACGGCACATGATGATATTTTCTACATTTTGTGGTAGAATACAAGAACGTCTTTCAGATATCACTTGTCCTGTGACACTAAAGCAACGTTCTGATGGCGCACTTGAAGCTGGAATTGCACTTATTCGCATAAATAATTTAAAGAGGTTGGGAAATATGGTTCTATGTTTGAACCACCATTGCGTTATAAAGGCAGTGTCATTGTTGTCGTCGATTTCACTGTCGGGTAACTTCATTTGCAAATAATCTTGCAACTCTTGGCAATATTTATCAGCATTCATAAGTCCCCCGCTATGATTGGCACCGTCGTCATCAGAATCAGCGAATGAATCAAACAAATTATTCGATGTCCTCTTTTTTTTTTGCACTTTCGCTATGGGTTCTACAGCAGTGTTAGAAATAAGTTCATTTATTTTATCATAAGTTTTTTCTCTTGTTGCTGCATCCATTTTTGTCAATTTTTTCATCCTGATGTATAAAGCAGTGGCAATGTTGTGTTCCATTGTTGGCTTAAAATCACTTTCTATAGTTTGAATATAATTACGACCAAATGTTTTGATTGCTTCGATCAGTTCAACGTTTTTATTTTGAAATACTTCGGGCTCTAATATGGTCATTTTTAAATGTTTCATGACTTTCCAGTAGACTGGCCAAACTCGATGAATTGTAATACATTTATCCGCTTCGATGTAATCCGTCCAAATTTTAAATGGCTTCAAAAACTTCACGATTTCAGAAAGCGTCGATTTGTGCAGGCATTCAATGTGCTTCAAACAGTCGGCATACTTCCTGTTCTGTTTTTGACGTTCTTCCAAAACTTTATATATGTCT